GCCCACACACACTGGATTCCTAACATTAACCGACAGTTACAAATTCAGACACTTATTTTTGGCACATATCTTACCCCATACATACGGAATAAAATGCATTTTGTCTTTTCAGCTCTTTATCATCAGCTTTTTTATAATAAAGGTAATTTCTTCATGCATATCATCCGATGGGAGAGTCACCTGCATTACATGCTTATATCCAATTCTATTCAGTGTATTTCTATAGCTCCGTGTCATCTCAGGTCACTTTCCAGTTCACCAGATCATCCAGTCAGATTGGTTCAAAGTTTTCTATCTAAGGAAAACCAGCTGATTGCATCGACTCATTGACTCTTCAGCAATCCCTCATATATGATGGAAACCTCTCAGCCTTCCTGTTTACTGTAACAGCAGCCTTGTTATTTTTTAGCTCCACGCCGACTATCTGAGCTACAGACCTGATTTAAGCAGGAGGGCTAAGCTTGGTTAAGCCCAGATTAACTCCTTTAAGGAGCAGAAGCAACGTGTCTGGATCAGACAGAAGGACAGACAGACTCCACTCAGTCGTATTGTCATGACTGCAGGTAGAGACGCGCCAGCTTGCAGAGCGGAGCTAAATGGGGGGCTGGAGGAGGCCATGGCCACCCCTATCATTTTGTTGCCCTCTAATACAGATAGCAGCAGTAATACTCTGAATGGAATGTTCAAACTTATTAAACATTTACATTTTTCATATATTATAAAATGACTTGACACCTAAAACCCTGTGGTTAATTATGCAGATCAAAATACAAACATTAAAGATGATATTTACAGAATTTCTGCTCTTTTCACAACTGAATTTTGTGTTATATGGGGTACAGAGAAAATTATGTTTCTCTGCATGTCATCTTGGTACGACGGAAGATTAGGGCCGGTCTAGAGATTTTATTATTTTATTTGGAGAATAAAGTTGTAAAATTACGAGAATAAAGTCATAATAACTGAATAAAGTTGAAAACTAGCGAGAACAACCCGTTTCAGAAAGAAAGCTTGGAGCTCCACCCATCAGATGACGGTCGACCAGATCCACCAATCAGCAACCAGAGTCCACTTTGACATCCTGCCCAGTTTGATGCTGCTGCTAAAAGATTTCCTGTTTTATCAAACTGATGCTAAAGTAGAACTTCACACGATGCTCCACATTCCTCATTTTAGGAAAGAAAGGGATTCTAGGAAGAGTTGTCAGAAAATACAACTTTGTAACATTATCTCTTTAGTCATGGACAAAAAAACTATTTAATTACTTACCTTTTGAAGCGATCTTGGCGATCTGACCTTAAATTGCTTTTTTGGTAGATCATTAAAGGGACACACACCCGTTTAGGTGATTAAAGTGGATTTTTCGTATAAAACTAAAGGGATAAATGCAGATCAGACGTCTTGTGAATGCGTGTTGACTATGTGTATGCTGGTCTGACAGAACACCGGGTCACATCTTTTCCCATCATATGAAAAATCCCAGCGCTTCCTTAGAGACACGCACCTCTCTACTTCTTTTTTTTACTTAAATTTAAAGAATGTTTTAATTCTGAGATGGTTTTAACAGATCTAAAGCATCAGACTGCCCTCCTTTCAGTCCAGCCTCTTCAGTTTCTGATTAGTGTTTTATTTTCTGTGTTACCGCAGTGGCAGCTGCTACTGACGTTAGTTTGACCCACTTTTCTGTGGCTTTGTGGGCCGAGTTTCCCTTTGTTGTTTAACAAGCCGGTTGGCTTCACTTTAGGATGTTTATTCCTACTTCTGTTAAACACAGATTTTTATTTTAACTTTGCTGTGGACCCAAGTTCTTGGTTTTTGTTTGAATAATCCAACTTTGTTAACCTCCTACTTTATCTTTACATTAAAGGTCACTGCTACAGTTTTTCATTAAAACTGTTTTTCAAAAAGAAACAGAAATGCTATATAATATTTTAATTTGGAATTCTGATGGGTCAAATAATATGTATAAATATTTACTATGTTGACAGTGAAGGATTCTGCACCAACAGGAATAGATAAAGTCACATAACATGTTTTTCCAACGTAGCAAATTATATAAACATATTTTTACTCCGGCAGTTTTTTTTTTTTTTTTGTTTCAAAATGACAAATATTGCAACTTCTATCTTTATTGTTTGAAACATGAAATCTTTATTCAGTCTGAGTTTCCGTCTTCAGCGAGCAGCAAGTGCTGCCGTAAGCCCCTCCCTCCTGCAAAGCGAAGATCGTCTCCCATTGGTTAGCCCGTTAAAATGAATCACTGGACGCAAAGCTTCCGCTGATCCCCTAAAACAGGATGTAAATATGATGAAAACAGAAAAAAATAAATAAACTTATTTAAAAGTGTTGCTCTAAATGAGATCCCGTCCTGATTTCATTCATGAACAGCCTCATCCACTGATTGTATGGGGTGCCATTCTAGTCAAATATTCACAGAAATGTTTTATGGGCATTCAGCCTGCAAAACAAAAAAAAAAAAAAAAACCCTGAGGTTCATTCTTCAAATTTAGATTATTAGCAGATCATTCATATATATTTAATAATGTCACATTTCCAAACTAAATATTTAATCAGAAAGTTAAAGATTTAATTTACAAGCTACACATTTTTTCTGTTCTAAATGTTTAACAAGTTTGTGAAATATATATATTTATCTTGGAGCCAAATTCTAGTAGCTGAAATAAATATTTAATATTTTGGTTGAATATTTAGTTTGTTAAAACAAAAATTTCATTTGGGGCCAGATATTTAGTCTGAAAAATAAAGGTTTCATTTGGTTAAATAAATATTTAATTTGTAAAAAAAAAATAAGTAATTTGGAACCAAATATTTTGTTGGAAAAAAAATATATCTAACATTTAAAATAAATATTTAATTTATTGTCAAAATACATTTAGTATGTGAAATATTTAATTTTTCAAATTAAATATTTAATTTGGAACCAAATATTTAGTTGGTGAAATAAATATTTAACATTTAAATTAAATATTTAATTTGTAAAAATAAATTTAGTATGTGAAATATATATTTAACATTTAATTTATAAAAAAAACAAATATGGCTGTCAAATAATATTTAGTCTGTAAAATAACGTTTTCATTTGGTTAAATAAATATTTAACAGTGGAGATTTTTTTTATTTTTTGTAAAGGTAAATATTTCATTTGGAGCCAAATATATAATCGGTAAAGAGATATTTGATTAAAAGGTTGAAAACATTTCATTTGTATATTAAATATTTGTTTTTTAAATAAAATATTTATTTTAGAAGTGTTTATAAATGTCTGAATGATCTGGTAATAATCCGACTCTGAAATATAAAACCTGTTTTTTTTTTTTTCTTCCCATTCTGATTATTGCTGCTAATATCTGGCCAAACGGCACCCCATAGAACAGAGGCTCTTATTTTGGTAACATCCGGAAGTCGTCCTTCCGGGTAGAGGGTCAGTCACAGCAAACGCTGCACTAAAATTTCCCACGAAGAAGAAACGTCGGAGGTGGAAGGCCGGAAAGATTGCATGTGGATGGTCGTTTGGTGCATGGCGCGTGTTTTGAAGCTGCTTATGGAGAAATGTCTTGGGCCGTGAGTAGTGAGGAAACAGGAAGCGATTCTTGTGGGATGGAAGAGGGAAATAGTGACAATGAAGGTTGGAAGATAGCAACATCAAAAAATGAGAAAAAGCGGAAAAAACAGAGATCAGTTCAAGGGGAATCTAGTTCAGAACAATCCAGTGATGATCATTCCATACATTCCACAGCACAACAAAATGAATTCAAAGTCATATTCAAAGTCGTTAATCAGGCAGACTCTTTTACAAATTGGAATCCGGTTCACTTAACAAAAACCATCAATAAACTTGTCGGAGAAGTCAGAGGTGCCAGAATTCTGTACAGTGGAGACCTGCTAATTAACTGCAGAGACAGCGCCCAGCAAGGCAAAGCAATACGGATCAACAAAATTGACGGGATAAGAGTTCAGTGCAGCTTAATGGAGAACAAAAAGTTCAGCAGGGGAGTCATTGGAGGAGTTCCTCTAAAAATTTCTGAAAAAGAGATTCTGGAAAACATAAGAGGTGCAAAAGTAAAAGAAGTAAAACGGTTAAAAACAACAAGAAACGGAGAAAGATCTGACAGTTTATCTGTGCTAATTAAATTCGAAGAAGAGCAATTACCAAGCAAAGTATTCATCGGTTACATAAGCTATAATGTCAAAATCTACAATCCTCCACCATTGAGATGTTTCAAATGCCAAAAATTCGGTCACATTGCAGCAGTTTGTAAAGGGAAACAGAGGTGTGGAAGGTGTGCAGGAGAACATGAGTACGGAAAATGTGGAAAAGAAGCTAAAATAAAATGCTGTAATTGTGGTGGAGAACATACTGCTGCCTATCGCGGCTGTGAAGCAAGCAAAAGGTCTGAGGAAATTAAAAAAATGAAATTTGAGCTCGGAATAACCTACGCTGAAGCTGCAAAAAGGATCCCATCTCAGTCAGAAAAACCCAAACCTACAGTTCAACACACAGCAAATTCCAAACCTCTAGAGAAATCTCTAAAAATTGATGAAGACTCACTTATTGTTAAAAAGACAAATTTTGTTCTTTTCATGGTAGAAGTTATTAATTGTACTGCACAGACAACAAAAAAAACGGAAAAAATCAAAATAATAGTGAAGGCTGCAGAAAAATATCTGGACATTAAAGATTTGAACTGGGAGATGGTTGGAAGTATGATGGGAGGACCGATGGGACCATCAGAAACTGGCAGAGTTAAGATGACCTAGAGTAAATTAAAATTATATGGGCAAATGTGATTTAGTATTATGTTGGTTTAAGTTACACAGGTTTTTTTTTTTTTTTTTTTTTTTTTTTTTTTTTTTTTTTTTGGGGGGGGTGAATCGTTTCCTGTTTTCTTGCTTTACTCCATATCAGTTGGTGGCGGTAATGCACAATTCACAAGTCTGCCAACCGCCATAAAATCCCATAAGAAGAAGAAGAAGAAGTCGTCCTTCCTCAGCCTCCCTCATCTATCGGACCGTGCGGGGCGCCGCGCTCGGTTCTGTTCGGAGCTTTCAGGCTGGATCTGCGGGGGCTCCGTGTGGATGTTCGGTGGCTGCTCCGGTTCCATGGCCGCTGCTGGCGGTGGATCAGCTGCAGCTGAACCCTCCGAGATGCTCCGAGTTCCCCGCAGCTTCAGAGCAACGCCGGCCCGGGGACACAGCGATGTTTTTCAGACGGAGAGCCAGGTAAGGCTGGGCTGGAGTGGGAGGAGGAGGAGGCGGAAAGCCGCGCGGGACGGAGGGGTCTGGATGCAGAGATTTGGGTGGAGGAGGGGGAGAGGAGGAGGGGGAGGGCCCCCTCCCACACAAAGGCCTTTCTTCTGCTCCCCCTCCATCCAGATGAACAGCTTCATGCTCCTGCAGCCCCCCCCCTCTCTGTGGGAGGGTGTGAGTCAGATCGGGACCATCATGGCAGCTGTTTGTATGTTGCAACCCTTGAAGATGTGATGTTGGCCCCATAACATGGCCCCCATCACATTGGCCCCATCACATGGGCCCCCATCCACAGTGGAAGGGGCCCCGCTCTGCTGTTCTCTCAGATCTTCCGTCTGTGTCCCTCTGGCATCTTTAAACAGACCTGCTGAACTTCTATGGAGGTAGATTACCGTCAAAAATAAGCATCATTCAGTAAAAAAACGCGTTTAATAAAAATTCATTTTATTTAAAGCGGGAACTGCTCAACATTTTACGTCTGTATTTTTTCCTTGTTTCCGACTCTAACAAACGTGAAACGTAGAGTTCAAGTCTAGAATTTATTCATTTTAATCAAAATGTACAATTTCGAAACTTCTGATTAAATGATTTATATAAAGTTAAAACTAACAAACGTGTCACTCTTGGAAATGTGGGATTAATGATCATAAATGTTCAGGTTTTCAGATGAATTTCACATGTTTGTGTGTCTGAACTTATTAATCTAAGTTAAATGTTGGGAATTATTATTTTAAGTTACAATTTTGCAACAATATACAGAAGTACAAGTTTTAGGTTTACATCTTGCAAAACTAAAATATGAGTCACATTTATGGGGCGTCGTTTGTAAAGCGAAGCAGTCAAAATGAGGAGCAAAATTTATCGTTATTTATCTGACATCTTGCGTATGAGCGATGGGTCAATACATGACTTAGCGTGTTTTTAGAAAAAAATACGGGGGTTATTTTTTTCCAAGTTTCTTGCTATGTCATTCATTCGTTTTTAAAAATCTTTGTTAAAAAAATGTAGTTTGAAGCTAAATACTTAGTTTTTTTAAAGAAATGTTTTATTTGGAGCTAAATATTTTTTTAATAAACAAAATATTTGTTTTTTTGCTAAATATCTGTTTAAAAGAATAAATGTGTAATTTGCAAACTAAATATTTAGTTTGTGAAATAAATATTTTAGTCAAACTAAATTTTGTTTGGAGCTAAATATTTGTTTAAAAAAACAAAATATTTCGCTCCAAACTATTTTTTTTTTTTTAACAATTTAAGATTTTTATAAATGAATGAAAAAATAAACCCCCTATGTTACTTTTAAAATTCACAAAAAACCCACACAAATATTGCTCCTAATGGCACCCCATACAGATTTCTTTCATTTAATTGGCTAAGATAACTACGGATAAAACCTAAGCTCAGCTGGATTTACAGGATTATAAACTATGACGACGAGCTACAAATTTATAAAAGCTGTTTTAGCCAAGAACAGCTGATTAGTCTGTATTGGATGTAAAATTGTATCCAAAAACCTCTAAATTCATACTTTCACAAACGCAACATTTCCCAATCCCATATATCTAAGAGTCGAGAAGGAGGAATACTTACTAACCCTAAAGATATTTTTTTTCCTTTTACTAATTCAGACGGCTAAGCATGCATTTTTTATTGGCAGTAATCTCACCCCGTACGTCTCATATTTCTGAAAGGGATCCGCTCGGCTCAGGGTGAGCAGATCTGGGTGAACCTGTGAATCCTTCAGATGTCATTAAAACTTTGTGCTTTTTGTTTTATTTAGAAAACTTCAAAGTGAAAACAGTTCATGAAGAGAAAAATAAAACTACAATTAAAAATGTTTTAGTTTCTTACGACACTGACCAGATATGTAGAGCAGGTTATCTATATTTGCTATCTCTATTTATTCAGCTCAGCAGAAACTAAAATGATAACAAAGCTGTTATTCAAACAGGAGGTCTCACTCTGACCTACATGCAGGCTTCAGATCTTTGTTCTCTGTAGTTCCTCAGAGCCGATCGAGGATCCGGACTTTTTAAATAAAGAGAATCGATACGTTAGAAACTTTATTTTCTGAAGGTTTCCTTCGGCTCGTATCAGTCAGTGTTTCCTCTGCTAATGATTAGCCGTTCTGCTAATGATTCACTAATAATCCATCAGAACAATCAACTTTATGTTTTTTTAAAAGATTTGAAGCCGATTTCATTTCAGAGTGAAACTATTTTCAGTTCCTGCTGAAGGGAAAATAAAAACTCTTCCTCCTTCTGATCATGCAGGCTCACGTCCCTCCTCTTCCTCATTCTCAGGGATTAAAGATTAAATATTTCCGGCTCGTAGCGAATGCCCGTGGGTAAAAAAAATCACTCGAAAATAAGTTCTTCCTATGGGCAACGACTTGAAGGACCAAACTAAACTGTTCATCATTTATTCTTTATGGTACGCCAGCATTCAGAACATGGAGGCCAATCACTGTCCCCCAGACATCCGCTGTTAGATTTTATATATTTATATCTTTTATAAACAAAGCAGAGTGTGTATATTTGGATATAATCTAAAGGAATATCTTCAGAATAGCTCCACAAAACTCATATGGGAGATTAGAACATGATGGAATAACGGAAAATCGAGGGACCAATGGGAAAAGAAAAAAAAGGCGTTTCCCTTTAAATAAAAAAAATAAAATAAAATAAAAAAGACAAATGTCCCCCAATGCGTTTGTCAGCCAATGGGAGCAAAGGAGGGCTCTGAAACTAACAGTTTTAGCCAATCAGTAGAAGAAGGGGGCGGGTCTTAGAAAAGCGTGTTCCTCCTCCGCTAGCTTGTTGCTCTAGTCGCCTGTTAGCTTGTGGTTCAGGGCTGAAGGGAAAGTCACTTCGCAGCGTTTATGGCTCCATTTAACGTAGAGACGAGTAAAAAGTCAAAAAATAAATAAATGAAACTTTGTGTTTGGAGAGAAGGATGATAGAGAGAACGGAATGCTATGGAGTTAGCGTACGCTACACGTTAGCCGGGAGCTACGGCAACAGCCGATGGACTAGCGTCAATAACTGACCGTTTATGAGACTTAAAAATAAGGGTTAGTTCTTTCCTCGCTGAATGCGACCTCTCAGCCACACTAGATATAGACGCACTTCTGCCATCTTCTGGCTGTTTTTGGTAGTGGATTTTCAAAAGTCAATTTTAGTCTTAAAAATTGACCCCTGGCATGGCTTGAAAATACACACACATATATAGATTAGGGATGCACGATATAATGGGCCCCCTATCGGTATCGGCCTTAAAACTGAATATCGGACATCGGCCACCCCACCGATATTTAACCCGATATTTGATCAGCTTCTGAGTTTCTAAAGTCTAAAAAAAATAAATAAATACTACTTCTTCTTCTTCCTCAAAAACTTCTTTTTTACAGACTTAAAAACTTCTAAAGACGAGGGAAAAAATATTGATCCATTAAAATATCCCAATATCTTCCTATGCTGATATATTGCCATTTAAAAACACCATATCAATCTCTTTTACTAATGAAATATTGCTATATGTCATCGTTATGCTACGAAATCCCCCGAAAATTCACCAAATGTTGCCATATTTTTATATGTTGATATATTGACGCGGTATCGATCTATTTTACTAACAAAATCTCACAAGAATTTGCAAAATATCACGAGAGTTTGTAACAGAACGATGAAATTTCACCAGATTTTGAAAGTAAAATAGATCGATACCGCGTTTTTAAAAATCTATTTGATATCAGCATATGAAAATATATTTGAGTATATTATTTTTCAAAGTGTCAGAAATGGATAACAAAACTGCTATTTTCAATGACTACTTATTTTTGTCCAGCTTTAACATCGGTATCGATATCGGTTATCGGCTACATGAGTTTTAAAATATCGGATATCGGCCAAAATCCCAATATCCTCCATCCCTAATATATATATAAAATGGGCTCAGGATTGTTTTGCTTTAATCCCTGGATTCTCCTCTTCCTCCTCCTCGCTCCTCCTGCTGCATAAAGTGAGGCGTTCCTGTGGAAACATCATCACAGCAGAGAGGAGGACGCTGCTCCTCTCTGAGGAGGAGCTCCAACAGGAAGAGCAGGAGGGAATTAATCAGAATCACTAAACCTAAATCTTGATGAAATCCTAATAATAAACGATAATTTCTTGTCTTAAATGCACTAATATGGTCCGTATTTATTTTATTATAGCTTCATTACACGGCAATTAAACTCCGTTTACTATTATTATTTATAATGTGAACTTTTTTGATTAGAATATCATGTGATGGCCTGGACCGGCCTAGAATATGCATACTGGGAGATGTCCAGTCAGCCCAGTAACCAGAGCCGCCTGGCTTCAAGCCGACAGAATACTGAATAATTTACTGTATTAATGAAGTTATTTGGCTCAAAAACAGAAAAACTACAGATTTTATTTATTATGAACCAGCTGGTTTAAAAAAAGACTAAAAATATCGGTCATGTGACGCCGTCTGATCGATTTACGCGGACTGATCGATCAGCGTTTATATAAACACTTGAAGCTAAATGTGCGCCTCGCGCCATCATGGCGGATTTCGCTCTAGACAGCTGCTAGCAGAATATTCCGATCGCCCTGTTTACGTGACGCGTTTTTGTCCGATCAGCCGTTTTATTCCGATTTTATCTCCACATAAACCATTTATTAGCTTTTTAACCCAAACACATTTCAGCTGGTGGTGAAACTTGTTGCTCTTTGACCAAACTATCGTGTAACGCTGGGCTGGAGCGGGTGGAGGGCCATAGAAACCACCACAGATAAATACCCACAATCCTTTGCTGCACATGAACTAGCAAACACCACATGACTGATCCGATCCTCCTGAAACCTGCAGAGAAATATCGGTAGTTAGTTCTGACCCAGTTCTATCGGGCCGATATGTTTCACTGGCCGATCCCGATGCTAACGCTAACATATGATGCTAGCCTAATTAGGATTCTCCATGGTAACGGATATTCCAAGGACGGACACATCGGTACAGACCAGGACTGATACACGGTTAACGAGAAGGCTCACCCAAACCACACTGACAAGGACGGCACCAGAAGTGCGATGCCAATGTGGCAAGATATGCAAGAACACCAGAGGGCTAAAGATCCATCAAGCCAAGACCAAGTGTGGAAAGGAGGCAATTTTGTTGCAGCGCAGGGTGGAGACACCTCGTCAGACGCAGGAGAACCCCAGTCAGGAGGCACCCCACAGCACTGGAGATCTCTTGGCAACAGCTTTGCCTTTGAACCACACAGTGGTCAACTCTGATGCCTCCCAGCAACCTCAACCTGCAAAGGACAGAATAAAATGGCCGAAAATGAACAGCAACAAGGAGTGGCAGCAGCTGGATGAGGACCTCTGTAAGATTCTTGAAACTGCTCTGGTAGGTGCAGCAGAACAGAAGATGGCAACGATGACAGCAATCATCTATAATGTGGCCAAGGAGCGGTTTGGTGTCGAGGATAGGAAGACCAGTACTCCTAATGTCCGGCAACCAAATCGGAGGGAAAAGGAGATGCAGAGCTTGCGGAGAGAGATAAAGGCACTATCCAGGCAGTTCAAGAATGCCACCGAAGGGGAAAAAGAGGGAATTAGAGACCTAACATCAGGGCTTCGTGAGCAGCTTCGCAGGCTAAGAAGGGCAGAGCAGACACGGAAGCAGAGAAAGAAGAAGGGGGCAAAGAGGGCACAGTTCATCAAAGACCCTTATAGGTTCACTAAAACCTTATTAGGAGAGGCAAGATCAGGATCACTCAGCAGCTCTAAGGAGGAGGTTGAAGAGGCTCTGAGGTTGACTCACTGTGACCCACAGAGGTATGAACTTCTTAGCAGCCACCCAAAGATCATCAAGGTGCCACCCCCCTCAGAACCTTTGGTGACCAGAGAACCGACCTGGAAGGAAGTGGAGGAGGTGGTGAAAAAGGCAAGGACAGCATCAGCCCCTGGACCAAGCGGAGTGCCTTACAAAGTGTACAAGAAGTGTCCACTTCTGCTACGTAGACTTTGGAAGCTCTTCCGGACAATCTGGGCAAAGGGCAGCATACCAACTACCTGGAGAGTGTCAGAGGGCTGCTTTGTGCCAAAGGAGAAGGACTCTTCTGAGATCGGCCAGTTCCGCGCCATCTCTCTGCTGAGTGTAGAAGCCAAGATCTTTTTCTCAGTCTTGGCGAGAAGAATAACTAACTACATGACAACAAATGGATACATTAACACCTCGATCCAGAAGGGGGGGATTCCAGGGTTCTCTGGATGCCTGGAACACACCACCATCCTCAGCCATCTGATCCAGGAGGCCAGGGGGAGCAAGGGCAACCTAACAGTTGTCTGGCTGGACCTCGCAAATGCATATGGTTCCATGCCCCATTCTCTCATCAACAAGGCTATGGAGCAGTACCACATCCCCGTCAAGATCAGGCAGATGATTAACAGCTACCTGGGGTCATTCAAGCTGCGGTTCCAGACTGCCAAGTTTACCACCACATGGCAGCTACTGGAGAAAGGCATTGTAACAGGATGCACAGTATCCCCCATTTTGTTCATCATGGGGATGAACCTTCTGATTACAGCAGCAGCAGCAGAGGCCAAGGGACCAGTTACAGCAGCAGGAAGCAGACAACCCCCACTGAGAGGATTCATGGATGACCTCACCATAACAACCACAACGCATGTGCAGGCAAGGTGGATCCTAAAGACTCTCGGGGCTTTAGCATCGTGGGCAAGAATGGCTTTTAAGCCCAGGAAGTCACGGAGCATGGTGATAAGGCGGGGGAGACTAACAGAGGCTTTCGAACTGCATGTCCAAGGAGAGCAGATCCCTACAATCAGGGAGAACCCCATTAAATGCCTGGGGAAGTGGTACGATGACACCCTCAGTGACAGAAACAACATCTCTGACACTGCAAATCAGGCGGACGAGTGGCTAAGGAGGATTGACAAGTCAGGCCTACCCGGCAAATTTAAGTCCTGGATATACCAGCATGGGCTCCTTCCAAGACTTATGTGGCTGTTGACAGTCTATCAAATCCCAGTGACTGCAGTGGAGGGAGTGGAGAGGAGAGTGAATAAACATCTCAGGCGATGGCTAGGTATCCCTCCCAGCTTCACTGCAGTTGGGCTCTACATTAGATCAGGACAGCTCCAACTTCCATTTTCCTCTGTGGTGGAGGAGTTCAAAGTGGCCAAGTGCAAGGTCGCAATGATGCTCAGAGACTCAAAGGATGAGCAAGTAAGCAATGCAGGAGTCACAACACGAACAGGCCGTAAGTGGGCAGCCGACACTGCAGTCAGACAAGCTGAGAGCTCCCTGGAGTTGAGAGACATCATTGGTAGTGTCTGCATTGGTCGACAAGGACTGGGAACATCTCACTTCACACGGTGGAGGAAGGCAAGCGTCCAGCAGAAGCGGGAGATGGTACAAGTGGAAGTTCGTCACCAGGAGGAGGAGAAAAGGAGGGCTAAGGCTGTGGAGCTGGCGACCCAGGGAACATGGACCAGATGGGACCTCCCAAACAGAAGGGTCACATGGACTGAGCTCTGGAGGCTGGAACCTTTCCGTGTTAGCTTCCTCCTGAGATCCGTGTATGACACGCTTCCATCACCAGCGAACTTAGCCAGGTGGGGCTTGAGGGAGGACCCGCTCTGCAAGTTGTGCAGAAAGAAGGGGACACTGGCCCACATTTTAGCAGGGTGCCAAATCGCTCTGGCCCAGGGGAGATATAGGTGGCGGCATGACCAAGTGCTTCGAGTGATGGCTGACATTTTCGAGCAGGCTAGGAGAAGACCACAGCCAATTAAGCTGCAAATACCATCAATGCAATTCATCAGGGCAGGAGAAAAGCCACTCTCTAATAAAAGAGCCAGAACCAACATCCTCCAGGGGGCACAGGGGTGGGAGATGAAAGTCGACCTGGGGAAGAAGCTCACTTTCCCACCCATCGTCCAGACCACCTTGAGGCCTGACATTGTCATCTGGTCAGAGCAAGCCAAAAAGATCATCCTGGTGGAACTGACTGTGCCTTGGGAGGAAGGCTGTGAGGAGGCCCATGAGAGGAAGAACCTAAAATACCAAGACCTCATCATGGACTGCAAAGACAAAGGCTGGCAAGCATGGCTGTTTCCAGTGGAGGTCGGATGCAGAGGATTCCCAGCACAGTCAATGTGGTCTGTGCTCACTGCACTTGGAATATCTGGCAAGGAGAGGAAGACAGCTGTGCGCAGGATTGGGGAGGCAGCAGAGAGAGCCTCATGCTGGTTGTGGTTTAAGAGGGAGGAGGGGGGCTGGAGGCCTGGAGATGATGGGCAGTGACCTGGCCACCACTGCTGACCCGCCAGCTGGAGGGTGTAGCGGTTAAGGGTCGAAACACCCTGTGAAGGTTGGGCACCGTCTGATGACATCAACTCCAGGCCAAAAACCACCCACAGTCACATTAGGGAGTGACTGTATGTTAGCATCACATGATGTATTCAATAAGTAATTTCTGGGCAACCAGTGACGTCCAGGAAAGGCTGGATGGCAACTGAGGAAGATCAGTGACGCTGGAGAGACAGCTGACCTCCAGGAAAGCCTGGCATGGGTGCATGAGGCTAGCAACCTTATGTACAGCACTCGCAAGAGGGCACCAAATCAAGCTACGAATGACCACAATGAGCAATACCCCCAGAGTCTCCCGAGAGGGGGGGAGGATGAGAGACTCGCAAGGACGGACACATCGGTACAGACCAGGACTGATACACGGTTAACGAGAAGGCTCACCCAAACCACACTGACAAGGACGGCACCAGAAGTGCGATGCCAATGTGGCAAGATATGCAAGAACACCAGAGGGCTAAAGATCCATCAAGCCAAGACCAAGTGTGGAAAGGAGGCAATTTTGTTGCAGCGCAGGGTGGAGACACCTCGTCAGACGCAGGAGAACCCCAGTCAGGAGGCACCCCACAGCACTGGAGATCTCTTGGCAACAGCTTTGCCTTTGAACCACACAGTGGTCAACTCTGATGCCTCCCAGCAACCTCAACCTGCAAAGGACAGAATAAAATGGCCGAAAATGAACAGCAACAAGGAGTGGCAGCAGCTGGATGAGGACCTCTGTAAGATTCTTGAAACTGCTCTGGTAGGTGCAGCAGAACAGAAGATGGCAACGATGACAGCAATCATCTATAATGTGGCCAAGGAGCGGTTTGGTGTCGAGGATAGGAAGACCAGTACTCCTAATGTCCGGCAACCAAATCGGAGGGAAAAGGAGATGCAGAGCTTGCGGAGAGAGATAAAGGCACTATCCAGGCAGTTCAAGAATGCCACCGAAGGGGAAAAAGAGGGAATTAGAGACCTAACATCAGGGCTTCGTGAGCAGCTTCGCAGGCTAAGAAGGGCAGAGCAGACACGGAAGCAGAGAAAGAAGAAGGGGGCAAAGAGGGCACAGTTCATCAAAGACCCTTATAGGTTCACTAAAACCTTATTAGGAGAGGCAAGATCAGGATCACTCAGCAGCTCTAAGGAGGAGGTTGAAGAGGCTCTGAGGTTGACTCACTGTGACCCACAGAGGTATGAACTTCTTAGCAGCCACCCAAAGATCATCAAGGTGCCACCCCCCTCAGAACCTTTGGTGACCAGAGAACCGACCTGGAAGGAAGTGGAGGAGGTGGTGAAAAAGGCAAGGACAGCATCAGCCCCTGGACCAAGCGGAGTGCCTTACAAAGTGTACAAGAAGTGTCCACTTCTGCTACGTAGACTTTGGAAGCTCTTCCGGACAATCTGGGCAAAGGGCAGCATACCAACTACCTGGAGAGTGTCAGAGGGCTGCTTTGTGCCAAAGGAGAAGGACTCTTCTGAGATCGGCCAGTTCCGCGCCATCTCTCTGCTGAGTGTAGAAGCCAAGATCTTTTTCTCAGTCTTGGCGAGAAGAATAACTAACTACATGACAACAAATGGATACATTAACACCTCGATCCAGAAGGGGGGGATTCCAGGGTTCTCTGGATGCCTGGAACACACCACCATCCTCAGCCATCTGATCCAGGAGGCCAGGGGGAGCAAGGGCAACCTAACAGTTGTCTGGCTGGACCTCGCAAATGCATATGGTTCCATGCCCCATTCTCTCATCAACAAGGCTATGGAGCAGTACCACATCCCCGTCAAGATCAGGCAGATGATTAACAGCTACCTGGGGTCATTCAAGCTGCGGTTCCAGACTGCCAAGTTTACCACCACATGGCAGCTACTGGAGAAAGGCATTGTAACAGGATGCACAGTATCCCCCATTTTGTTCATCATGGGGATGAACCTTCTGATTACAGCAGCAGCAGCAGAGGCCAAGGGACCAGTTACAGCAGCAGGAAGCAGACAACCCCCACTGAGAGGATTCATGGATGACCTCACCATAACAACCACAACGCATGTGCAGGCAAGGTGGATCCTAAAGACTCTCGGGGCTTTAGCATCGTGGGCAAGAATGGCTTTTAAGCCCAGGAAGTCACGGAGCATGGTGATAAGGCGGGGGAGACTAACAGAGGCTTTCGAACTGCATGTCCAAGGAGAGCAGATCCCTACAATCAGGGAGAACCCCATTAAATGCCTGGGGAAGTGGTACGATGACACCCTCAGTGACAGAAACAACATCTCTGACACTGCAAATCAGGCGGACGAGTGGCTAAGGAGGATTGACAAGTCAGGCCTACCCGGCAAATTTAAGTCCTGGATATACCAGCATGGGCTCCTTCCAAGACTTATGTGGCTGTTGACAGTCTATCAAATCCCAGTGACTGCAGTGGAGGGAGTGGAGAGGAGAGTGAATAAACATCTCAGGCGATGGCTAGGTATCCCTCCCAGCTTCACTGCAGTTGGGCTCTACATTAGATCAGGACAGCTCCAACTTCCATTTTCCTCTGTGGTGGAGGAGTTCAAAGTGGCCAAGTGCAAGGTCGCAATGATGCTCAGAGACTCAAAGGATGAGCAAGTAAGCAATGCAGGAGTCACAACACGAACAGGCCGTAAGTGGGCAGCCGACACTGCAGTCAGACAAGCTGAGAGCTCCCTGGAGTTGAGAGACATCATTGGTAGTGTCTGCATTGGTCGACAAGGACTGGGAACATCTCACTTCACACGGTGGAGGAAGGCAAGCGTCCAGCAGAAGCGGGAGATGGTACAAGTGGAAGTTCGTCACCAGGAGGAGGAGAAAAGGAGGGCTAAGGCTGTGGAGCTGGCGACCCAGGGAACATGGACCAGATGGGACCTCCCAAACAGAAGGGTCACATGGACTGAGCTCTGGAGGCTGGAACCTTTCCGTGTTAGCTTCCTCCTGAGATCCGTGTATGACACGCTTCCATCACCAGCGAACTTAGCCAGGTGGGGCTTGAGGGAGGACCCGCTCTGCAAGTTGTGCAGAAAGAAGGGGACACTGGCCCACATTTTAGCAGGGTGCCAAATCGCTCTGGCCCAGGGGAGATATAGGTGGCGGCATGACCAAGTGCTTCGAGTGATGGCTGACATTTTCGAGCAGGCTAGGAGAAGACCACAGCCAATTAAGCTGCAAATACCATCAATGCAATTCATCAGGGCAGGAGAAAAGCCACTCTCTAATAAAAGAGCCAGAACCAACATCCTCCAGGGGGCACAGGGGTGGGAGATGAAAGTCGACCTGGGGAAGAAGCTCACTTTCCCACCCATCGTCCAGACCACCTTGAGGCCTGACATTGTCATCTGGTCAGAGCAAGCCAAAAAGATCATCCTGGTGGAACTGACTGTGCCTTGGGAGGAAGGCTGTGAGGAGGCCCATGAGAGGAAGAACCTAAAATACCAAGACCTCATCATGGACTGCAAAGACAAAGGCTGGCAAGCATGGCTGTTTCCAGTGGAGGTCGGATGCAGAGGATTCCCAGCACAGTCAATGTGGTCTGTGCTCACTGCACTTGGAATATCTGGCAAGGAGAGGAAGACAGCTGTGCGCAGGATTGGGGAGGCAGCAGAGAGAGCCTCATGCTGGTTGTGGTTTAAGAGGGAGGAGGGGGGCTGGAGGCCTGGAGATGATGGGCAGTGACCTGGCCACCACTGCTGACCCGCCAGCTGGAGGGTGTAGCGGTTAAGGGTCGAAACACCCTGTGAAGGTTGGGCACCGTCTGATGACATCAACTCCAGGCCAAAAACCACCCACAGTCACATTAGGGAGTGACTGTATGTTAGCATCACATGATGTATTCAATAAGTTCCAGTGTAGAGACGGATCATCAGCAGGGTCTTGTTTTGGCTCCTTTTCTAAAGTATCGGTAAAGGTCAGAGGTCAGAGGCTAATCCCTCTACCTGCCATCCACTGTTAATGTATTCTTTGTTTAAAGGTTTATTTATTGTTTAAGTTGTCTCATTTTTATCATGTAAGAGTAAGAACAAACATCGCCGAACAGGAAAAAGAAAACCCAGTTGGGTCGGATCCACTGGTTCTGCAGAACCTCAAAGGTTCAGTGCTTTTAGAAAACCTGATATATCTCTGTTTGACCCGTAATCTAAACAACAATCCAGTGGAGCTGCTTTTCATCATGGAAGCCATCAAGCTCCGGGCGTCTCCCAGTCCAACCGGAACAGGAACCCTGCAGAACCTGATTCCCTGTTGGTTCTGCAGGGTTCTGATCCGCTGATGTTTGCTAACACAGAGACACGCCTCACAGTTCAGGACCCTTCAGGGACTTTGAGTTCAGTGGTGGGTGAGGCAATGCGAGGCGCCTGGGAGCGCCGTGCATGGGGACAGGTCTGGACTCGCCCGGACGGGAATCTCTTGTGCTGACTGACGACGTCAGGAATTCTGCTGGGATGAACCCGTTTGATCCCAGCTGTGTTCCACCTCTGCTTCTGCTTCCGTAATTAGAAAGATGGCAGAGGTCTTGCCCTGCTAAATGTCTGCTGCTGCTGATGGGACTGTTTCTAAAAACACTTTAAACAGGCGGCAGCCATACCGCTATGCAGCCATGCAACCAAGCATTCATTAAGCCATGCAGCTATGGAGCCATGGAGCCATGCAGCCATGGATTCATGCAGCCATGGAGCCATGGATTCATGCAGCCATGGATTCATGGAGCCATGCAGCCATGGAGCCATGCAGCCATGGAGCCATGCAGCCATGGAGCCATGCAGCCATGGAGCCATGCAGCCATGGAGCCATGCAGCCATGGATTAATGCAGCCATGCAGCCATGGAGCCATGTAGCCATGGATTCATGCAGCCATGGAGCCATGGAGCCATGCAGCCATGGATTAATGCAGCCATGGAGCCATGGATTCATGCAGCCATGGAGCCATGGATTCATGCAGCCATGGAGCCATGGAGCCATGCAGCCATGGATTAATGCAGCCATGGAGCCATGGAGCCATGCAGCCATGGATTAATGCAGCCATGCAGCCATGGATTCATGCAGCCATGGAGCCATGGATTCATGCAGCCATGGAGCCATGGAGCCATGTAGCCATGGATTAATGCAGCCATGTAGCCATGGATTCATGCAGCCATGGAGCCATGGAGCCATGCAGCCATGGATTAATGCAGCCATGGAGCCATGGAGCCATGCAGCCATGGATTAATGCAGCCATGCAGCCATGGAGCCATGTAGCCATGGAGCCATGGAGCCATGCAGCCATGGATTCATGCAGCCATGCAGCCATGGATTCATTATGCCATGCAGCTTTGCAGCTATGGAGCCATGCAGCCATGGAGCCATGCAGCCATGGATTCATGCAGCCATGGAGCCATGCAGCCATGGAGCCATGCAGCCATGGAGCCATGCAGCCATGGATTCATTATGCCATGCAGCTTTGCAGCTATGGAGCCATGCAGCCATGCAGCCATGGAGCCATGCAGCCATGGATTCATGCAGCCATGGAGCCATGCAGCCATGGAGCCATGCAGCCATGGATTCATGGAGCCATGCAGCCATGGAGCCATGCAGCCATGGAGCCATGCAGCCATGGAGCCATGCAGCCATGGATTCATGCAGCCATGCAGCCATGGAGCCATGCAGCCATGGAGCCATGCAGCCATGGATTCATGCAGCCATGCAGCCATGGATTCATGCAGCCATGGAGCCATGCAGCCATGGATTCATGCAGCCATGGATTCATGGAGCCATGCAGCCATGGATTCATGCAGCTATGCAGCCATGGATTCATGCAGCCATGGATTCATGCAGCCATGGATTCATGCAGCTATGCAGCCATGGATCCATGGATTCATGCAGCCATGGATTCATGTAGCCATGCAGCCATGGATTCATGCAGCTATGCAGCCATGGATTCATGCAGCCATGGATTCATGGAGCCATGCAGCCATGGATTCATGCAGCTGTGCAGCCATGGATTCATGGAGCCATGCAGCCATGGAGCCATGCAGCCATGGATTCATGCAGCTATGCAGCCATGGATTCATGCAGCCATGCAGCCATGGATTCATGGAGCCATGCAGCCATGCAGCCTTGGATTCATGCAGCTATGCAGCCATGCAGCCATGGATTCATGCAGCCATGCAGCCATGGATTCATGGAGCCATGCAGCCATGCAGCCTTGGATTCATGGAGCCATGCAGCCATGCAGCCATGGATTCATGCAGCCATGCAGCCATTGATTCTTGGAGCCATGCAGCCATGCAGCCTTGGATTCATGCAGCTATGCAGCCATGGATTCATGCAGCCATGCAGCCATGGATTCATGCAGCTATGCAGCCATGGATTCATGCAGCCATGGAGCCATGCAGCCATGGATTCATGCAGCTATGCAGCCATGGAGCCATGCAGCCATGGAGCCATGCAGCCATGGATTCATGCAGCTATGCAGCCATGCAGCCATGCAGCCATGGAGCCATGCAGCCATGGATTCATGCAGCTATGCAGCCATGCAGCCATGGAGCCATGCAGCCATGGATTCATGGAGCCATGCAGCCATGGATTCATGGAGCCATGCAGCCAAGGATTCATGCAGCTATGCAGCCATGGAGCCATGCAGCCATGGATTCATGCAGCTATGCAGCCATGCAGCCATGGAGCCATGCAGCCATGGATTAATGCAGCTATGGAGCCATACAGCCATGGATTCATGCAGCCATGGATTCATGGAGCCATGCAGCCATGGATTCATGCAGCTATGCAGCCATGGAGCCATGCAGCCATGCAGCCATGGATTCATGCAGCCATGGATTCATGCAGCCATGGATTCATGGAGCCATGCAGCCATGCAGCCATGGAGCCATGCAGCCATGGATTCATGCAGCTATGCAGCCATGGATTCATGTAGCTATGCAGCCATGGAGCCATGCAGCCATGGATTCATGCAGCTATGCAGCCATGGATTCATGGAGCCATGCAGCCATGGATTCATGCAGCCATGGATTCATGCAGCTATGCAGCCATGGATACATGGAGCCATGCAGCCATGGAGCCATGCAGCCATGGATTCATGCAGCTATGCAGCCATGGATTCATGCAGCTATGCAGCCATGGATTCATGGAGCCATGCAGCCATGGAGCCATGCAGCCATGGATTCATGCAGCTATGCAGCCATGGATTCATGCAGCCATGCAGCCATGGAGCCATGCAGCCATGGATTCATGCAGCTATGCAGCCATGGATTCATGGAGCCATGCAGCCATGGAGCCATGCAGCCATGGATTCATGCAGCTATGCAGCCATGGATTCATGCAGCCATGGATTCATGGAGCCATGCAGCCATGGAGCCATGCAGCCATGGATTCATGCAGCCATGGAGCCATGGAGCCATGCAGCAATGGAGCCATGCAGCCATGGAGCCATGCAGCCATGGAGCCATGGATTCATGCAGCCATGGAGCCATGCAGCCATGGAGCCATGCAGCCATGGAGCCATGCAGCCATGGAGCAATGCAGCCATGTAACCATGCAGCCATGTAACCATGCAGCCATGTAACCATGCAGCCATGTAACCATGCAGCCATGTAACCATGCAGCCATGTAACCATGCAGCCATGTAACCATGCAGCCTTGTAACCATGCAGCCATGGAGCAATGCAGCCATGTAACCATGCAGCCATGTAACCATGCAGCCATGTAACCATGCAGCCATGTAACCATGCAGCCATGTAACCATGCAGCCATGGAGCCATGCAGCCATGGATTCATGCAGCCATGGAGCCATGCAGCCATGGAGCCATGCAGCCATGGAGCAATGCAGCCATGCAGCCATGTAACCATGCAGGCATGTAACCATGCAGCCATGTAACCATGCAGCCATGTAACCATGCAGCCATGTAACCATGCAGCCATGGAGCCATGCAGCCATGGAGCCATGGAGCCATGCAGCCATGGAGCAATGCAGCCATGCAGCCATGTAACCATGCAGGCATGTAACCATGCAGCCATGTAACCATGCAGCCATGTAACCATGCAGCCATGCAGCCATGGATTCATGCAGCCATGGAGCCATGCAGCCATGGATTCATGCAGCCATGGAGCAATGCAGCCATGGAGCCATGCAGCCATGGAGCAATGCAGCCATGCAGCCATGTAACCATGCAGCCATGTAACCATGCAGCCATGTAACCATGCAGCCATGTAACCATGCAGCCATGTAACCATGCAGCCATGGAGCCATGCAGCCATGGATTCATGCAGCCATGGAGCCATGCAGCCATGGATTCATGCAGCCATGGAGAAATGCAGCCATGGAGAAATGCAGCGATGCAGGCAGACCAGAGCATCTCCTGATTCCTCCATCCATCCACTTTCTTCAGCAGTCTTCCTCTTCCTCCTCTTCCTCCCAGGATGCTGCGGTGGCTGCTCTGTGGTCGTCTGGGACCAGTTTGGATGTGGAAAGCTCTGCTGCTTTTTCTGGCCATCGCCTTTGCTGGTCAGCTGCTGGGAGTCATCTTCAACAAAAGGTAAACAATCTTTTCTGCACGTTAATCTGTAATCTGAGCTACAGATTAAGCTGCCTTGGGTCTGCAGCAGAGGTAGAACGATACGTCGCCCGTTCTCTTTTCCTCCCAAATTCAAGAAAAAATACCTTATTTAGATTTTAATTTATTGCAGTGTGAGAGCAGAAACAAATATTTATGTGCTCTTGGTTTTTGGCAGAATAAATCTTCTATTGGGGAGAAATTCCGCCTGTTTGGCTGAACTGGCTGCAGCTTTTTCTCTGTTTTTATGTTTTGCTGAATCAGGCTGACAATGAACTCTTTCTTGTTTGAAACATGACATGAAAAACTTTTTAAAATACTGTTTTCCTTTAACAATGATTAAAGAGCTCCGCTTTTTAACACAAACTCCTTACTTTGGAGCTTGTAGATCTTCTCAAAGAACAAAAGATGAAATCATTTAATTAATTAATTACTTGTGAAACTCTTCCTTCCTACAGCAGCGTCCAACCTGCTGCACGCTCCATCTTTTCGTCCCCTGACGCTCAGGGCCCGTCTCTGGGATCCTGTCAGCCCCACACCCACATCATGTTCCTCAAGACCCACAAGACGGCCAGCAGCACGGTGCTCAACATGCTGTACCGCTTCGGCGATGAGCACCACCTCCGCTTCGCCCTGCCGCTGGGATACCAGCTGGGCTACCCGCTGCCCTTCAACGCTCACAGGGTCAAAGGCTACCGGGGTCCCGGAGCCATCGAGTTCCACATCATGGGGAACCACATGAGGTTTAATAAGGCAGAGGTGAGTTAATAATGAGGAGTTAGAGTGAACTTTCTGTGGATCAGGGGGGAAAAAAGCCATAAAGGGGTCATAGATGCAGAGTTTCCATGTTCATAGATGAATAACGATAGTTCAGAGGGTGAAATAGACGTACAGAGAAGTTCAAACCATCAACACCTCCTTTATCTGTTAATCTCACTATTCTAAACTTCCACCATAAAACGGGTGAATCCAAACGAAGCAACGAGTTGACGTAAACTTGGGGATGTTGCTTTATTTGGTTCTGGTCTGTACTTTTATCACGCCCTCAAATTAACATCCAAACCAGCCCACTGGTTCACGGTAGATGGAAGACAGCAGTTTAGCTGTTTAGCCTACAGTTGGGTTTACTGCTGCAAGAATTAGAAAGCAGGAAGTTTCTCTAAAATGAGTCAGTACCACGGGAGCACCATTCCTGGCTGACTGGAGGAAGGGGAACATTTTCACATTGTTTCCAAGGATTCAAAGACTCGACAAGCATGGATTATTTTGGTCTATCAGAAGATCCCTGCAGAGTTTGATGCTCAGCTGTTTATTTGCTGGAAGCATTTTACCGAAGACAGCTTTAAAAACCTAGCTGTTTCCACTACCTGCTGCACTGCAGTCGACTAAAATCCCGGATAATTTTGAAATTCCCCCCGGACATTTTTTTAGGTCTGAAAAGTAGGACATGTCCGGGAAAAAGAGGACGTCTGGTCCCCCTACCATATCAACAATCTGATGTTTCAGTGAGTGAGTGCTTGTTGCTATGATGATGCTCAGCAGCTTGGCTCGTTGTAAACCAACCAATCAGAGCACAGCTCATCTAAATATTCATGATCAAACCATAAAGGAAGAAAAGCTGTGGTTTCATTCTAGGGCTTTTAACCAGGCTGCATTAGGGCTCATAGAACAGCTAATATGCCATTTTCAGCCCAACCAATGTTACACACCCTATTAGAGACCTGAAGGACCAGATACCCTATAGAATCATTCTATCACCCTATTAGAGACCTGAAGGACCAGATACCCTATAGAATCATTCTATCACCCTATTAGAGACCTGAAGGACCAGATACCCTATAGAATCATTCTATCACCCTATTAGAGACCTGAAGGACCAGATACCCTATAGAATCATTCTATCACCCTATTATAGACCTGAAGGACCAGATACCCTATAGAATCATTCTATCACCCTATTAGAGACCTGATGGACCAGATACCCTATAGAATCATTCTATCACCCTATTAGAGACCTGAAGGACCAGATACCCTATAGAATCATTCTATCACCCTATTAGAGACCTGAAGGACCAGATACCCTATAGAATCATTCTATCACCCTATTAGAGACCTGAAGGACCAGATACCCTATAGAATCATTCTATCACCCTATTAGAGACCTGAAGGACCAGATACCCTATAGAATCATTCTATCACCCTATTAGAGACCTGAAGGACCAGATACCCTATAGAATCATTCTATCACCCTATTATAGACCTGAAGGACCAGATACCCTATAGAATCATTCTATCACCCTATTAGAGACCTGAAGGACCAGATACCCTATAGAATCATTCTATCACCCTATTAGAGACCTGAAGGACCAGATACCCTATAGAATCATTCTATCACCCTATTATAGACCTGAAGGACCAGATACCCTATAGAATCATTCTATCACCCTATTAGAGACCTGATGGACCAGATACCCTATAGAATCATTCTATCACCCTATTAGAGACCTGAAGGACCAGATACCCTATAGAATCATTCTATCACCCTATTAGAGACATGAAGGACCAGATACCCTATAGAATCATTCTATCACCCTATTAGAGACCTGAAGGACCAGATACCCTATAGAATCATTCTATCACCCTATTAGAGACCTGAAGGACCAGATACCCTATAGAATCATTCTATCACCCTATTAGAGACCTGAAGGACCAGATACCCTATAGAATCATTCTATCGCCCTATTAGAGACCTGAAGGACCAGATACCCTATAGAATCATTCTATCGCCCTATTAGAGACCTGAAGGACCAGATACCCTATAGAATCATTCTATCACCCTATTAGAGACCTGAAGGACCAGATACCCTATAGAATCATTCTATCACCCTATTAGAGACCTGAAGGACCAGATACCCTATAGAATCATTCTATCACCCTATTAGAGACCTGAAGGGACCAGATACCCTATAGAATCATTCTATCACCCTATTAGAGACCTGAAGGACCAGATACCCTATAGAATCATTCTATCACCCTATTAGAGACCTGAAGGACCAGATACCCTATAGAATCATTCTATCACCCTATTAGAGACCTGAAGGACCAGATACCCTATAGAATCATTCTATCACCCTATTAGAGACCTGAAGGACCAGATACCCTATAGAATCATTCTATCACCCTATTAGAGACCTGAAGGACCAGATACCCTATAGAATCATTCTATCACCCTATTAGAGACCTGAAGGACCAGATACCCTATAGAATCATTCTATCGCCCTATTAGAGACCTGAAGGACCAGATACCCTATAGAATCATTCTATCACCCTATTAGAGACCTGAAGGACCAGATACCCTATAGAATCATTCTACCGCCCTATTAGAGACCTGAAGGACCAGATACCCTATAGAATCATTCTATCACCCTATTAGAGACCTGAAGGACCAGATACCCTATAGAAGCATTCTATCACCCTATTAGAGACCTGAAGGGCCAGATACCCTATAGAATCATTCTATCACCCTATTAGTGACCTGAAGGACCAGATACCCTATAGAATCATTCTATCACCCTAATAGAGACCCGATAGACCAGATACCCTATAGAATCATTCTATCACCCTATTAGAGACCTGAAGGACCAGATACCCTATAGAATCATTCTATCACCACTTTAAAAAGATTTTATGTTGATGATATTCTCTTTGATGTTTTAGCTCTATAATTAGAGTGAAGTTATTTCACAAAAGTTTTCTGGAAAAACAAACTAGTTGTTCTAAAAAAAGCTTCTTTTCCAGCTGTTATTTTACTCAGAAAATGGAAACTTCAGGGTTATTATTATTTAAGACGCATGCTCAAGAAATCTGAAATAAAAATAATTGAAACTAGAAAAAGGTGATGAGATTTTAACTTTTTTTTTACTTAAAAAAGCCTTCACCTTTCTTTCTGGATTCCAAAAAAGTAAAAATCAATCTACTGGACTTTGTTTCCAAGTTTGAAGACGTTCCTCTTCCCATCCAAGAAGCTTTTTCAGTTCAAAATGTCAGAAATTTTGTAAACTGTAAACACCGCATGGCTCCTTTTGGCACCGTAGAAAAGACGGTCATTTTAGCGGTCAGCTAGGGCTTAAATAATATCTCAGGATTAACGGATTATTGAAATAATCTTTAAACAACTCTGTAACCCGTTAAAACCTGAAATCTCCTGGAAAAAGAACAAACTCTGTTCAAAAACTAAAAAAAAAATAGAAAGCTTTAGTATTTTACAATTAAAACACCTTCATTGGTCTGTAAAAATGTTTGAACAATAGTTTAGTTAAACCTCTCCTGGTTCAAACTAAAATTTTCTTTCTGTTTACGATCATTAGCTGCAGGGTTAGTCTGCTAACCTCTGTTAGCTGCTAAGTGAAGCTAAAAAGCTTAATCAGGCTGTAAAAAGTATAAAATAAAATAATAAATATGATCGGATTAAGATTGATTATCTTTTGTTTGTGTTGATTTTATTGTTTAATAGTTTAAAAGTTCAGAACGCATTCATCTAGAGACAGCTAGCTTGTAGCAAGAGTTAGCTATCGCTAGTTTCCATCCTGCGTCTGATTCTCAATCCGCTGCTTAGAATCAGGACGTTTGTAATTAAATATTTACATGTAAAATAAATGATTAGCGATTGAGCGTTGCAGGATTATTTTTGACATCAGTCTAACTGATCCCTGATACCTGTAGCCGACGTTTTTGGGCTGATTCGTAGCGCCCTTTTTTTCCTCCACATTAACGTGATTGAAATGACGGAATGATAAATGTTATGCAGTTTTCAGTTTAAACAACCCAATATTAAGAAAATAACTGAGATGTTTATATAAAAGAAAACCCGGATCCTGAGAATTTGATCTCCTTCTAGCCTCTCTCCCACTGACAATAGCAGGTTAACGCTAACCCGCTAACATTCGCTATTTGGCTCCCTTCCCACTGGCAGAAAAAGCTGGTCTAACCCCCTTACAGGCAGCTGCGTGTCTGGTGACATCATCACGCTGGGTTAGCGTTAATGATGTCACCTGTTCGACTGAAATCAGGGAAGTAAACAATGGAGAGCATCATGTCAGGAAGTCAGGGCTTAGCCAGTGTGCTTTATTGTTTCTCTATTATCTGTTTGAATCCGTCTCAGCAGAGCTGCTCCATGTTTATCCAATGGAAATAGTTGATTCTGCTTGTTAGATCAGAAGCGACTGGTGCGCCGTGTTGACGTCCGAAGTTGCGTTCAATGGTATCACGTAAATTAGTGTGTCAACCCGGATCTCGGTTCCCAGAGCAAGGCGATCAGAGCCAAGGAGATTTTTAACGCAGGTCGCTTTCCGAGTCTTTTGCCCCGAGTAGACGTGCGTCAGTGAGCTGTTCCCATGGCAACTAAAAGCCCGTTGTTCCTGGGTTTATACTGGTTTTTCGGACAGAGGGTAAGGGGTAGAAATTATCTCTAGTCAGCTAGTTAGCAGACAAAAAAAAATGAAGCTAGAATTAGCCAAAAATATCGGCCTGTGTTCTGTCAGATGAGCATACCCCGCCAGAACAGCATACCCATAGTATATACGCATCCGTAAGATGTCAGTTTTGCGTTTTTTCCCCGTTAGTTTTGTACGAGAAATAGACTTTGAACTACCTTAAAGGGCGTGTGTCCCTTTAGTGATTTACAAAAAACAACTTTTTAAGGTCAGATCGCCATACGCTTCAAAAAACACCTAAAAGTAAGTAATTACTTTGAGGTAGTT